AAGTCTGTCTCCTGCCTGCTCAACAATTATTCACTTATGCAATTTTTTGGAATAATATATTTTTTCATGGTTTTAGATATGTGCAATTAATTTACACATGCTCTTAGAATTTAAATGATATTGTAAATTAGTTGCAGCAATAATAATTATTTTTATTTCTTTGCAATTTAAATTTGTTAATTAAATTTTATATTTGCTTTATACAAATGGAGAATATTTGTTAAATTCAGATTATATGTGTATATATAGATTCCACTTTGACTATGTGAAAATATGTGTAGTTTTGTACATTTCATTTTTCTCTTTAAAATTTTGGATCCTGTGGAGGACCCATTGATTTAAGATAGGAAAGAGATATTGAGTAGTTTATTGCAGAATGAAAAAGTTAGTTTTAGTATGATGTAACCATTAATTTTTTATAAGTATGTTAAAAAGAAATATTCTTATTTGCTCTTTCGTGGAAATTTTTGAAGCAAGTAACGCAAAACCCTACATTGCATTTTTTGCAAGAATACGTTGATCGCTTTCTCATTCCACTTCTCTGAAAAGCAGCACAGCTTCATGGAGCTCTGTTGTGAATGGGCCAGTGGCCTATCAATGAAATTGTACCTGAGACTTGAGCAAAGTTCACTGAAGCTTCTGAATCATTGAAGAGTTGCTTTACAAGATTTTTTCCAAAATCTGCGAAAGTCTGAAATTTTCATTTTGTACAAAATAAAGGAGTTTAAAACTGCTAAATCGAGTAAATGGGAAAAGTTTTTTTTTTTTTTTTTTTTTTTTTTTTTTGGTCATTTTAGTTTTCCTTCCGAATGTATAACTATTTGCCATTCGGTACTCAAGTTGATGAATCCCATATTTTTGTTATAGGTTGATACAATTCTGGGTTTTCCTGTTTCGTCATAGGCTGCAATAGGATTGTGCTTATTGTTGAGCAGAAAAACTTCTCTCTTGTCTTTCTAACAAGCTGCAGTCATTCCTGATGAAAATTTTATTTTAATTTGTTGTTTCTGCATTCGGAAGCCAGCATTTACAAATGCATGATGCAAATTCAGATAATTTTTCCAATTGCAGCGAATTGTACCACGACTGTTGATTTTATATTTATGCGCAATTCATGAAATAAATCCGGTGAAGAAAAGAAATTATCCATAAAAAGTTTATGTCCTTTGCCTTTTAAACACTTTCTTCTAGCACTATTACCGTGTTATGAGCAGCACATTTCCCATTGTTCGACTCGTAGGAATCTTGTTCGAGGCATACTTTCATGTCATATGTGTAACCATGGCGGTCAGCAAGCTTGTAAATTTTAATTATAAAGCGCTTATGTTTTTTAGGAAGGTATTGTTTAAAAAATACTCTTTCCTTAAAAAGAACGATTACTTCATCTACAGCCACTTCTTCGGAGGACTTGTATATTTCCTTAAAATTGTTTCTCAAATGCTCAAATATATCCCTTATTTTCCAAAATTGGTCATAATTAGGATCGTTTCTGTCTGGTGGTGACATGGTATCTTCAAAGTACAGAAAACAAAGAATTTGCAAGAATCTATCTCTATGCATAGTTTTCTTTAAAAAAAAAGGTGTTTTAAGCATTTCGCTTGTCAACCAGTAATCTTTTATCTTGTCTTTTTGAATATGTCCCATCAGCAATGTCAGCACCAAAAAATTTAGCAGTTCATTTTCATTAACATCCTTTCATGTAACTGTATGCTTTTTTTTTTTTTTTTTTCTAATTCAGGGTTAAAACTGAATTTGGTACTTACGTATTATCGCAACCAGGTTAGCGCGATTTGTAAGTTTGAGTAAAAAAGTATGAATAGAAAGAAATGTACATTTATTAATTACAGATTTTTTTTTAATACAGTTTTTTATATTATTTTGTTTAAAATATAAAATAGCAATTAAACCCTTCCGGTTTCGAATTTGAATAAGTTGCAGAATTATTTTTTCGGCGGAAATCTTTTGGCTATTGCTTTTAGCACTGATTGAAAACCGTCTTCACCATTAACAGCTTGAGCTTGGCGCCATATAAACTCACTTGTATTGTATCCTTTCCAGCAATCCAAATAAATGATGCTTCCTTCCTTGATATTTTCACAAATTTTTTCCATGAGGGTAACGGCGCTTCTGTTAGGTACAGTAACCAAGAAAGCAAATTCCGCGGAAAACCCATTGCTGTGGTAGTACACGCCCAGTGTTATTTTTTCTTTTTACAAATAAACTTTCGCCTATTTCCACAATAAGTCCTTCGCCGCCTATTTTCCCGTTTCTTTCTTTTTCATCCATTTCAAGGGCACATATCTCCTGCATGTAATTAATAATCCGTATGTAACGAAAACTACGTATAACACGTAGGGTTGTCGTAAGTAGGGTCGCAAATTTGCATTTGCGAATTTTGCCCTGGTGCGTTAATACTAATACCCTGATTTTTCCTATATTGTCCGCATAACGATTCTTGACATTTTTCAAATTCACTGAAAATATTTTGAAAATCAATTTCTTTTGTAGCTTGAGAACAAGAACTTTATCGTTTTTCCACAGGTTCGTAGCGTCCTTATAAGTGCTTATAAGTCCTTATATTTGAAAATAAAATATAAAGGCCCTTATAGGTGCTTACTTTTCTTTAAAGCCCTTATTTTTTTGTTTTTAGTGCTTATTTTTTGCTTTTTTTGCTTTTAGTGCTTTTTTGCTTTTTTTTAATGAACGCGCTATTTTCCCCCTACCAAAGCCGAAACTAAATAAACAACTTTTCTTAATATTGAATGTCAGGTGGTGAATCATACTCCCGGAAATAGCTTTCCCCCTTTTCTCTTTAACATAACCTTTGGTGCGCACAAAGAGTACAGACAGGTGCCCGTCGTTATATTGGTCAAAGAATTGCGAAAGCAGTAGAAAATTTCGGTACATTCGGCATTCTTTTCCTCTCACCCAAATACTATACACGTTTAAATTTCTATCCAGATCTTAATAATTTGCATTCTCGTTCCGCTTGGTCAGTTCATATTTGTGTTTATTATGATCATTATGCTTATATTATGAGTATATGTATGAATGTTTATAATAACAGTTGCAGTAACTGCTGAAGTATAGTAAACTTCCAAAAATGGTTGTATTTTAACACAGCGTTTTAGGAATAATACTCGGAATGGCTTAAATAAAGGGAAAGTAATCGAATAGTCAAAATAATTTAGTTTTTTTTGGCCAATACATTATATAGTGCGAAGATTGGGAGGTTCTCCCCTTTCTCCCCAAAATCTCAAATATTGAAACTGTTACAAGTTCGCTGCAAAACAAGCAACGGACTTTTTTTTTTTTTTTTTTTTTTTGTCACTTTCCAATCTGGATTGAATAGGATTAAAAGTTCTGCGGTCTACCAACCCAAGCGAAGAATGATTCTATTGCGGAAATTTAACGCCGTCTGTTGAAAATTAGAATGAAAAACACCCCAGTTACTCATATTTAGTTCTTTATTCTCCCAATTTCAGCAGCTGTTGATTCCGATTGCGTAATATCACGTAGGGAAGAATTATGGCACACGTATTGTGCAATAACGTTTGCGATATTTCGCAGAGATAATTAATTAATTTTGATGTTCTGTTTGAGATTTGTTTATGAACACTTAAAAGAGTTTTACTGTGCTTGCTAAGCAGAATATTTTTCAGTTCCATTGGTTTATTTTTATATGATTCACATATCAAAATGTCAAAAGCATTTATTTAGCGGAAAAATCTAAAAAGTGGCTACAGTCAACCCCCCCCCCCTCCGCTCCTCTTTTTCAAGTTACGCTCAACTGTCCGAATATTCGCCAGTTTCCAAGTATGCGGCTTAGTTAAGCTTTTACTGTTAAAGGATGACTGCATGAAGCAAATTTCTGTCTTCTGATTTCAGAAATGTTCCTCTTTTTTACTTAAATTACTTTGCTTGCAATATCTGTTAAGGAAAAACTGATATACAATGAAAATTTAGAAAATATTCAGAATTTAGATTTAAATTATTTAAATATTAATATGAGTGGAAAAATAAATTGTATTTATTATTAGGTTCCAAGCAAATACAATAAATATGCCTTATTATTATTTATTTTCTCTATTTTGAACTGAAATTTCATCATTAAATCTTGATAATATTCATTAAATCTTATTATTATTTATTTCTATTTTGAACTGAAATTTCATCATTAAATCTTGTAATATAGTTTAGTTCTGCATAGTTTTTTTTTTTTTTTTTTCTCTCATTGTAAACTAGTTCTGTAAATTGAACTGTTATTTAAAATTTAAAGGGAAAAAAAAAAGTAATTATTTTCCATGGTTGAGGTAATGCTTATTCTCTCTTAATAAATACTGCATTTCTCATATTTTAAATTACAAGTCTAATTAAGGTTATGCAGTTGTGTATAATGTCATTAGACAGGTGCTTATTTTTTTTCTTAAAATGTGCTTGAAAAGTGCTTATTTTTTTAACTAAAATGTGGCTATGAACCCTGTTCCAATAAAATTCAAAGCATTTACCTTGTCTTCAGGTTTTGATTCAAGCCATTCAAATTTTGAATCAAGAGAGTTTGTCCATGTTATCAGTTTGCTCATCACTGTAATTTACCAAATCAGTCAATAAATATGAAGTTCCTTCCACATCCTAATGTTCACATTCAGATCCATTTTCCATATCCACCTCACAATCAGATTCGTTATCTCCGTTGTTTTCATCATCAAATTATTGAAGAAGTTTTCGAATTTTTTCTGTAGTCAGTCCTGTTTTCCTTTCTAGCATATTGCTCGAAAAAAAAATCAAAATAATTCCTAGAAAACATGGAATATTGTATAGCAACGCAAAGCTGTATTAACAATTTACAAACGCAGCTATATTGAATTTTGTAGCTACAAGAACGGAAAGGGAAAAATTGGGAAAACCTGATCCTTAACACAAAGACCTTTGAAAGTGATAAGTGCTTAAAACCCCAGGGATGTCAAACTTGACATTTCACCCTTCTTTCAGTCTGAAAAATGGGAGAAAAAGACAGAGCCACTAAAGTGTACAACCCCGTCCTTTCAAACAGGGGATTCTATGGCCACTATAATGGCCATCCTGTCCTCAAAGGGTTAACATTGGATAAAACTCATAAGGAACAAACAGCAGATTTTACAACAGCACATAATAGTAACTGTAGTTAACTCTTAATACAATTATTTTTAATTGATGTTCATATTCATTTCTTTTGGTATATGTGACAGTGCTGCTAATCAGTTTCATAAAAAATAATAAAATAATAATTAAAAAATGCAAAAAAAATTTACACCTCTTTCTTTCTTTTTCTTTCTTTTTTTTTTCTAAGAAAATGTTTTTCTTTTTTTCCTGTTTGATCAAATATAGTGAAATCCACACTATAGTGAGTCCACAGATTTTCAGTGCCTTGACGTTTGTTATAGCAGATATTTTTAACAGCATTCAAAACATGTCTATCTTTAAAGTAGGTTAATGTTTATGCAATAAGAATAAAACTTATTAAGCCAATATAGTACATCTATTGTAAGGAGCATTTCAGAGAAAACTGACTAATTATATGAAAATTCATTCTTTTAATAAAGTTTTGTTTTATCTTGCAATATCCTCTTGCTTGTTTATTTTATATTGAAATGCTGGATCATATTTTTTCATTAATTACATATGAAATTAGAGAAAATCAGCAATAGATAAACAAGTAGAAAATTTTTTTCAAAGAAAAAGTGGCAAAGTATGTACAAGAGCATAAAATTAGTAACAATACAACCGTGAGTTTGGTATAAATTTATGTCTAAGATCTCAATCGATTTTGAGGGCAAGCAGGTATGTTAGGAACAAAGAAATCTGAAAGACTGGAAAGCAGTGGGCACAACTGTCGATTTTTACTGTGGATTATAAATATGACTGCTGTGCCCTTTGCTTTCCAGTCTTGCAGATCTCTTTGCTCCTGACGAAGAGGGACCTGTATCTGCTTTCCCTCGAAATTGATCGAGATCTTGACATAAATCTATGCCAAACTGAAGGTTGTTCTGCTACTGATTTTGCTTCACTTGGCATTTTTCTCTTCTGTTTTATGTACAAGAACATTTTAAAAAAGATCAAATGCTACCATCTACTAGATATCTAGAATTTTGGCTCATAATTAAAATCTGTAATTGATTGTAATTTTTCTGGTAAATTAATATTTTGTATGGTGTATTTGATGTTTTTTCCAATAATTCTGTTTTAAGAATCAAATCAGTTTTCTTGATGATAGTTTTGTTTTAAATTATTTTTTATTTCCATCTTTTGAACCTTTAAAACTCTGCCCTTTGTTTCAGGACAAAAGTTCCACAAGTACATGAACGTATGGTGCAAACTGGAGTGTCCTGGTCTATGTATGTTAGCAAATGGTTCATTTGTTTGTTCGCTGAAGTTTTACCCATTGAAGTAAATATTTCTTTTTTGTTTTTTACTTTTCTCTGTATATATGCTATAAATATAATGAAGATCTTTTGTTCCTTACATTATTTTGAATTAATTTAATCATTTGTGTCTATTCTGATTTAACAGTAGAGTAGTTACAAAGGTTTTTTTTTAAATTTATATTTGTGTAATTTTCCCTATTTAGTAGCTCACTGATTTCATAGTTATTAAATAAAATATCAGTAACTTTTTTAACTGTTTTTATGTCTGTTTATTTGAATGGATCTCTCTGTTATGCCTGTTCAGTGCATAATGTACCCATCTTGCTAACTTACTTTATATAGTACAATGAGGACATTTTGTTGCTGCTCAGTCTGTTTTCAAAGTATACAACATAAGAAGAAATCAATTCATATTAAATGATAAAAGAAATAATCAGATTTTGCTGAATCTGATGAGATATGAGATATTAAAAGAAAATATTGATATATAATGGAAAAAATATTGTTTTTGACAGGATAAAAACTTTTTATATCTAGTTATCTTTATTTGGCATATGATTTCGTCTGTTTTATTGAAAATAGAAATGGATCTGAATGAATGTACAAAAACTTGCTAATTTATTGTATTTTATGAGGACATTTTGATGCTCAGTCTGTTTTCAAAGTATACAACATAAGAAGAAATCAATATATTAAATGATAAAAGAATAATCAGATTTGCTGAATCTGATGAGATATGAGATATTAAAAGAAAATATTGATATATAATGGACAGGATAAAAACATATCTAGTTATCTTTCATAGTCTGTTTTATTGAAAATAGCAAAATAGATGAAGGCTATCTATCTATGGAGCAATGCCTTTATAGTTATCTTTTCGTAGGTTAACTCTTTTTTTGAAAAATTCTCCCTTTGAATAAAGGAAAAACTAGACTTTTTATAAATTAATTTAGAATTAAAATGAAAATAGAAAGCATGATTCTTCTGTCTGTTACTCCAGGTATCTTATGATTTGGCCCTTGGATTTTTTGCTTCAGATTATTTCAGATTACCTTTGTCTAACAAATACAGTACAAAATCCCAAATCCGGCCTCGTCAGGACTTGTGCTATTCCAGATATTAGGTCATCAGTTTAAATCTAGTAAGATGGCATATAGAAATAATAAAATTAAAAATATGAAGCATTTATGATCTAAAGGGTATCAAAATTTACAAAAAAAAGGGGGGCTTAATATTTATTTTTTATTTTATTAAACATTTCTTTCAAGTTGTTTAAGTTGCTTCGTTTTTTTGTGCTAATACTTTCTCTTTAATTCTGTAGACATACAATTTCTTATTCAGTTACAAATTGAAGTCCTATAATTGCTGTGTCTAGAATTCCGACTAACTTGTCAATCGAAATTTTTTCGTCTCTCTGTCACTCTGCCTGTAGTGGTATGTTCTGGATTTAGAATCATACAATAGATTTGCCATCCAGTAATTGATTGATGATGATTATATTTATGCCTATTTCTTGCACATGCTTAACGCTTATCTGAGTCCTGAATAAATAAATTTGCACGTATACTTATTGAGGGCCGGCGTCTGATGCAGTCTCTGTGGCTCCTAAATTGTGCTACTAAACACCTCCCTTTATCTTCCCTAAATTCTGCTGCCCGGTGTGGCCATATGAACTCTGGCGCTGGTTCTGGGTTTTTGTGAATAACAAATCAATTATTTTTTTATTCAAATTGCACTAGGTTTAATCTGTTGGCGTATGAGTATCATTAACAAAATCTACTTTTAGCATATGGAAAGAAATTTTTGTTAAATATTTCCTGTCAACATTTCTTAGCACATTTAACTTAAATCTGTTATCATCGCCAAGCATAATGTCAACAGAAAAGGTTACCATGCTGTTTCTCAATTACTAATATAAGAAAAAAAAATTTTAAGTCGCTCCATGAGTCATTACTCAAGTTGTCATATGCTGATAAACATGTGGTGATGAAAGCAGGGGTGTTTGTGCTCCGGGGAAACCCCGGAATTCCGTGGATTTTGAACTTCGATACCTGGAAATTCCAGGGATCGTCGTTCAAAAGGAAGTAGGGATAATAATGAATTATTTATTTTGATCTGGGTTTTGTTTGCTTTGAAAGCAGAAACCGCAAGGTCAGCGTGTGTGGTGAAAACTTTTCCTTCCTTTCTCCAAAGGCAGTGATAATGCGTGAAAAGGGGGGAAAAAACTTCTTTTTTGTTCTTTCCTTATTGCGAGTTATGACTCATTGCCCCGGTTCTTGAACATTCTCTTCTGGATTCTTTTCGGCAAGTAGGCGCGGCAGAAAAAAATGGGAGAGACTTCGTTCGACCAGATATGTAATCACGTGACTCTGGGTTCAAAGGTCTTATCTCTCCTGGCGTGGCGCCAATAAGTAGAGAAGGGGGATTTTTCGCCATATTAGCTATTGTCATTGATCGCTTCTCAACTTTTTTTTCTCTGCTGTGTAAAATTTTCGTTTCATTTATTGATGCACGTGTAAATTTTTCGTTTCGTTTATTGAAATATTTTTTTATTTATGTACGCAAGAGAATTTCGCTATGAAATTTCTCGATATAAATAGTGATATTATACAATTAGAAGAAGGTGTCCAGAATGCATTTAGGTGGAATTGGATTGAACGGAGAGATGGTAGTGTGGATACCATCGGCACATGGTGCAAGAAAATTAATGTTGCTGGACAAGCATATTGTGTTTTTTGTAACTCACTGCTGAAGTATGGTGGGGAAGGGTTCAAGGCTTTCACAAATCATTCTAAAACTGTGACGCACATAAAATATTCAAAGTGCATTAGACATTCAATGACTGTAAGTAATTATGCTAATTAAAAAAATACTGATGACTTACTGGAGACTGATGCTCGGCCATTAGATATAGTGACAAGAAAAGCATGCCAAGAGGTATTAATAACTTCGTTTATCGCCGAGAATTCTCTTTCTTTCAATGTAGCTCCCAATTTAATTGAACTCTGCAAACAATTGAGCCGCGATCAGACGGCACTAAACTCATTGGAAATGTCCAGGACTACTGCATGTTATAAGATGAAATATGGGCTCGCAAAAACTATTAAGGAAAATATCATTAAAACTTTAAAGGAGACTCCATTTTCTCTAAATTTGGATGAAAGTACTAGCAATGCTCAAGAAAGTATACTTGGCAATATTGGTGCAGTTTTATGACAACAATCAAAATGAAGTTGTAGTTCATCATTTTGCATCTCTAAAGATGGAATCTTGCAATTCAGAAGCTGTTTTTAAAGCAGTTATTAATACTATTGAAGATAATAATATTCCATGGGCAAACTTAATTAGTGTATTAATGGACTCATGTAACACCATGCGTGGGGAAAAAAAAGGGTGTTGAAACCAGACTATGATCAAACAAAGCACCCCACTTATTAGATATTGATGGTGATTGATGGTAATACAGCACAGCATATGAAACAGAAATTACCCCTTAAAAATTCATATCTAATTAGTTTTACAGCATTAGATCCAGAGCTAAGAGGTAAAACCAGTACAATATTAGCTTTTGAAAAAATTATCATCTTTTTATGTCCCATTTTTTAGTGATAATGAAAAGTCCAAAAGTAGAAGCTGAAATAAGGTTTATACCAGAGTGATATTGATATCACCAAGAAATGCTCTACACATTCTAATGAAAGTGGAAATCAAGTCAAGTGTACAATTGATAAATATTAGTCTAAAGTTTTTAATTTAAAAGATGATTTCACAAAGGATTATAAGTATCCTACATTGGCTAAATTGGTCAAAGCCTGCCTTAACTGCTTCCATGGCCCATTAGTGGAAAGTGCATTCAACTTAATGGATACACTTGTCACTGACTATAGAACTCTCTTAAGATTGATTCCCTAGATGCAGTGCAGACTATTAAATATGATTTAATGGCTTCTAAAGAAACCTCATGTGAAAAATATGTCTCAAAAAATCCAATGACTGATCCAATTCATAAAGATCTCTTACTGAATATGAACAGAAGTTAGAAAACATATCAAGAGGACTTAAAAATATGTATTTCAGATGAGTCACCTATAAAAGTCTCTGAAAAACCTTCTACATTAGCAGAAAAGCAAAACTTCTCTACCTCTGCATGTGCAGTTCTCGAGGAAATTTTCTTCAACTCTAAATGAGGAAAATAAAAGTCAACCTTCCTGCAATTATGAAGTTCACCACCAAAAGAAAGACAAGCTAACACATCAGAAAATAAAAAAAAAAGCAGCAGAAATTAGATAATTTTTTTTTTAAAGAATTAATTCAGGTAATTTAAAATATTTACATAAAATGTAGTAGTTTATATGTTTGAAAATTTATGGTTATTAATTTTGCAAAAAAAGTAATTCATTGAACTTTTATAATTAGGTCATTCAATACTTCATGTAATTTTTCATTTCTCTCCCACCCCCTTCTCGAAACTCCAAAATGTTGGTAGTAAGTCCGTAAAAGTTTCAGGGGATTTTTTGGGGTCCCTCAAACACCCCTGCGAAAGCAAAATATAATAAATAATGATTCGCCAGTTTGGCGTCAGGGGTATAAAACTAGGCGTAAAATAAACGATGTATCTGTAAAATGTTTCAGTTTGAGATATATGACCGGCAGCTACGGAGCCAAATTATTGATCATACAAATTTATGCTAAAAAGATTGTTTGTTCAATAATGAGGTATATTTTATTCAGTGCCAAAGTGAAATTAAGAATCTGAACTCTCCACATGTTTTATTATGCGTATTGTGAGGGAATTAAATGCGCATCCAAACAGCACACCATATATATATATATATATATATATATAATAAAATTAAAAGAGTTGGTAGTGGCCTTTGAGGTCCGGATTTTAGATCATTCCGGATATCGGACTTTGTACTGTACTGTGAAATGATTGGACAATTCAAAGTTCAGTAAGAACTCTATTATCCAGACCTCTATCAATTGGTGTCTCTGTGGTAGAGCTGATAATCAGTTTAAAGAAATCTTGGGAAAACTTAGTAATATTAAAGAAAATACCGCAAAAATCAGTAACTTTTACAAATTCTATTATCAGTGATTTGAAGAATTTAAATCTGCTAGAAAAATTCATTTTAATTGTTGAAAGGGCTCCATATTATATAGATGATGTTGTCAGGCAAAATAAAAATGATTTTTCTGCCAATAAATGTTGCCTTCATTATGAAACTGATAGAATAAAGTGTAACTAATATTATAAAGCATTATTATGGAAGAAAGTAAGGGGAAACTAATTTTTTGTGTTCTAAACAGTAAAGATGATACTAGCAAGTAACAACCACTAGTTATGAATTACACGTATGCTCAAGCTGATGGGGAGAAAGGCAATCTATTGACCTTTTGATGAAATTTTAGAAAGATGTGGAAAAAAAACAAATGAAACACTAACACCAGACACAAACTGACAATAAATTTGTAGATATGTTTAAAAGGATGCAAAGACATCATTCAAGATGCTTTTTTAGAACTGAACTGCACAGAAAATAGCAAACCAATTTTTCTAATTTGGGTTACAAAGAAATCATTCAAATTGTAGATTGAGAGAACAATACAAATAGTTAAACTTTTTTAGCCAAAAAAAAAAAAAAAAAAAACTTTTTTATATGTTTCCTTAGAATAATAAATTTTGTGTCATTATCACTTGTATTAGAATAAGCAGAACAATGCATCTATAAATCTCCACAAAGAATTCAACTTTTTAAACTTCTTTTTAATTCTTTTAATACTAAACATATCATTTTATTGTTTCATTATAAACGACAGAGTAATTTTAAAAAAAGGTGGTCAAAGAGAGAGAAAAGTCTTACCTCATGTGCATACATTTCAATCTTTATAAAGAATAAGACAGGTTAACATGCTGGTTCTTTAAAGGGCCGTTCCCATTCAGGTTTATCTGAGCTAAGGAGACAACTAACGTAGCCGACCCATCTCCCAAACCAGTTTTTTCCCATAGAGCAGCAAGTTGAAAAATCTGAACTGCAAGCATAACGAGCTAGTCGACACAGGAAACTCACTCTGTTAGCTCAGATAAACCCCAGTGGGAATGGCCCTTGGAAAGCGTGTTAAGCCTGTAGCTTATATTAAAGGAAGACAATGAAAAATTACTAAAAGATTAGTAACATGGTACTTTTTAGGCAAGTTTAGTCTGTGCATATCATTACAAGGAGTGACCCACCAGCGGCCGAGCGGTAACGTCGCTGAACACTGGTAGTTCGGTTCGAGGTTCGAATCCTGCGAACAGGCTGGCTGCATGGGCATTTTCGTGGTTTTCCTTATGTGTAACGTGTATACGAGCCAGTTTCTCTTTAAAAGTCCTCCACGAAGGCATTCCTCCCTTAAGGCAGATAGCCCTCGAGTGCTTTGCCATAATCTAATAAACCAAACCAAACTGTTACAAGGAGTTTAAATGAATTTCAGTACATTAATTCCAACAATAAATTTTAATCTTACTTAGCAGTATATATATAGCATTGTGCAACCTGAGCACTTCCTAGGATAAATTAATGGTATCCTTCGGTTAATTCAAGTGGATTGTGTGTAACAGAAAATTTGCTTGATACATTTTGATTTATTCTAAAGTAGAAATTTTACAATCGTAATTTTTTTAATGAATTTATATATTTTTGTGGTCAATTTGGCACTCCTAGTTCATCTGAGGCAAGGGCCTCACTTAGAAGACTTGTCTTTTTTATTTTTCAATAATAGCATTTGGCACTACTGAATTTCACCTCAGTAAATACACATTTTTTGCAAAATGATATTTTCTGTAATAGAAACAATTTTTTAAAAATAAATTTTCTTCCTGAACAGGTAGAATTGCAAAACATATAGGCATATAAATGAATTAAATTTGTACGTATTTGTGAAATATATTAATGAAATTCTGCTCAGATTTATTTACTGTATATTGTCAAATGTATTTATTATGCAGTGTCAAATTACTTGTTACTAATTATGACAATTGTTATATCAGTTTTTGAGAAAGAATAAATTCATAATCATTCTTCATATGAGATTAATTATGTTTGGTTATGTATGAATTTTTTTACTCAATAATTAGCATCATTAGCTTAACATGATTAGCATTATCAACTAAATTTAATTGTGGAACTAATAAATACACAATTTAAATGTTCTTATAAATAATTGTTATTAATACTTTTTTCTCCTTAATGTTTCTAATTCAATATTATACCTATGTTATATGATTTTAACCTGCATATCTTTTAATCATTGTATTTCCAGACTGTTCTACGTATTTGGGATTGTTTATTCTATGAAGGATCAAAAATTTTATTGAGAGTTGCTGTTACTCTTGTTATAAAGAATCAAGATAAAATATTAGCAGCTAAAAACTTTGTTGAAATTACTGAAGTATTTAAATCTCTTCCTCTTGGTGCTACTGTAACTGAATGTCATACATTCATGCATGTAAGTAATATATGAATATAAAATTTTTGAATTTTGAAATAAAGTTTATAACATTAAAACATGTTGAATTAAAGTATAATGAAGAGTATATTCTTGCTATTCAATTTTAAGTCGCATAAATACCTTTTGTATGTAGAAGGATTACTATTACTAATTTCAACATCTCCTAAAAATCATATCCCTAATATGGCATCTAATTTGCTTGTAGGCTGTCAGTATGTATACTGCATTGTTAGTTCATAGCTATGTGCAGCTACTTCATAGTTCACTCAACTTTTAGCTGAATTTGATGTATATCTTTCTAACTTTTGTAAGATGCATTTTAGACTAAATTTCTAGAGGAAGAAATTGCTAGCTAAAAGGGGATCTGCCTTTCTGTGTGATATTGCCATGTTATAAAACAACTTTTGGTAAACCATATGATATGTTCCTGTGATTTGAATCTGACTTCTGACCTGTTGACAGAATATTTACTAATTAACTGAGTAACAATTGAATTAAGGAACTAAAGCATTCTGTAACATGTGATCTTAATGATTATTGGGATGCTAACAGTCTTTTTAGTGCAAAGGGACAATCTGCCTAGAAGGACTATTAATTTCATTTTGGCAGTTTACATCGATTCACTACAAGCGTTGTTTCACTTTTCAAATTGTTGCCACCAGATATTATTGTCCTGTATTAGATTTAAAGAAATTAAATAATGAAGAATCTGCATAAATGTATGCATGTTTCTCGCATTGTGACAAAACAACGATACCTATAGCCATCAGATTTTGAATAATGTAATCTTTCACCGAATATGGGCATCTGGAAGCCCAAATTTGAAATTTAAATTTATTTTATTATCGATTTCATATTTTGTAAACCTTTAACAAATTTTGGATTAACAAACTCAATGATTTCAAAGCGAGCAATGGCAACACTGTGCAGGGGAAAAAAAATTATCTCCAGCGCGCAAGATTGTGTATCGGAAATTCTGAAGATATGCTCATTGTTAAATTATTTTGCGATATTGCTGTTGAATTGAATTTTATGGTTTAAGAAGTACGAAGGACATGATATTTAATAATTAAAGGAAACACAGAAAACATTAATAAAAAGCCCCTTTAGGCATTGTGTAAAATCTGAAAGCTTTCAGATTTTTTAAAATTTGATTTTACTTAGTCTATATCAAAGACATCCGCAGAATACTTCTTCTTCATAAAAAGAGCGACTTGTATTCAACTTTCTCGGACGTGAATAAAATTCATCTGGAAATCCTTCGTCAGTCTAAGGTTCAATTTCATCATTATTTACAAGACAGTATTCCAGATTTTAAAATTAAAATTACAATCTTCAGCCCAATTCTGCATACATTTTATGTTAGTACAGTTGACATTTTTTTCTCAGTTTTGCTTAGAGTATCCTTCACTATTAAGATGTTTCAAAATATAATGAATTTGGAGATTTTTTTTCCCTTTCCGTTTTGTGAAACAGTAATTCCTGTTCAGTTTAAAGAATAATTTTTCACGGCACAATATTAGCAGTCCATCTTGAAATGCGTCGTAACTAGACAGAATTAAAAAATCTAGACAAATTTAGATTTGCCTTTTTACAAAAAGTTAATAATTTTCGTAAAGCGAAAGAATTGTTATATATATATATATCTGTCTATTCTATTCTGTCAGACAGAATCTGTCTGACAGAATAGAACAGTACAGCACAATCTTGGACTTTTTTTTTTAAAATTCATGCTTAGTGACAAAAAACTTTTACAATTTTTTTCACAGCAAAAATATGTAGCAATATATTAACCACAGCTTTCTTTAAGTAACATAATTTATTAGTGAAATTTGTGAGAAATCAAGCAGAATACACAAGAAATGCAAAGTTCTTAAAGCTGGGATTAGAAGTTTAATATTTATTGATTCTTTATTTCTTTTCATTTTGATGAACAAAGCCAGATTTTTAGGTACAGTATAGAGTAATAAATTTTTATGGTATGCATTTTGGTATATCACAAATGGCTCTCGGTAAACATTTTGAAAAATGATCCACATTTTTAAGCAGTAAGCAAAGGCTAGCAGTAGAATGAAATAAAGTATTCAAATTATACCTAGATAGGCTATTTTATTAGCTTAGTTTAGTAATTTTAATTTTTTGACAAGTTATTTTCATTTCTGACATTGGAAATATTGTGTTTCAGATTTGTAAAATATTTCTTCAGTATTGTTGTTTTTCCTGCCTATTGTGAGCTCATTGTTTTCTTCATTGTCATCCCACTGTTTCGCTCAATAAATTCATCTGATATCATCACTGATACACAATGCAAAAATTGATACATCTATGAAATTCCATTCCATCTTTTGAAAATATTTTTCGCTTGCCATTGATAGTGTATAAATCATAGATCATTGCATGTTATCATAATTTTTTTAATGTAATTATATAATTTGATACCATTTCATGAATATTAGACGAAACTCGCATCAAAAGTATCAGGCTCTAATATTGTAATTTAAGAGTGCATTTTCAAATCATTTAATATTTCTTTGATTAAACAATTTCCATATGTTATTTTGCTGTTTGATCAAATTATTATGGACTTAGTTTTATATGCAAAGTTTTAGCTTGTTCTAAATACTGTAGTTATAAAATTTGGTCTGAAAAATACTACTTTCAGATTGGAGAAAGAGTAATTTATTTTATGAGCAGGGTAATGGTTAGCCAAAAAAAAAAAAAAAAAAAAAAAAAAAAAAAAAATTATTATTATTTCTCTTTTCTCATCTGTGATTTGGCAATCTACTTCTTTTAATCATTCAGTAAATAAATTTGCAGTTTTCCTAGATTTTTCATCATAGCAGTGTTTTATTGAAAAAGATCTTATGTTGTTAAAGCACTTCAGTTTTTGTCGTATTTTAAATAATTCCAATATGTATATGACAATATGGTCTTAAATTAATTACTTCTTTTATTTTTATTAATTAAGATTAAGGATAATTGAAAAGTTAAGCCTCAAACCACTGGTAACAATGTTCTCCCTTGTGTAACATGAGTACTTTTCCAATTCAATAATTAATTTAATGTTTAGCCACAGTTAGTTATCTAATGATTAATTCAAAATTTTGCATAATAATAGCTCAAATGAATGCATTTGGCAATTATTGTTTAAATAAAATGGTTTAAATTTGCTAATACATTTGAATTCTGTGATATAAATTTTATATATGTATATATATATATATCTATATATATATATATATAATATTTTTTTAAAGGCTATATTTAGAGTACCTGGCTCATTTCCAAAAGCACAGATATTGAAGCTCAGAGAACAGTGTAGGGAGAAAGTTGAAAAAGAACAAGAACACACTAAAGTCCTGCATCAGCAACAGAAACAACGACAATTAGAAGAAAAGCAAGCACGTGAAGCAGCATTAGAACTGAAGAGACAAAACGAAGAAAGAGAGGCAGCATTTATGGCAGAACAAGAAGCTGAAAAACTTAAAGAAGAAATTTTGCAAAATGATGCATCAGATTCTGATCTGAAGCTCAATCTTAAAGAAGATGTGGATACAAATGCTCAGTCTGTAGAAAGTCAGCCTGACAATAAACAGACTTCCTTTCATGAAACTGAAAGATCTGAATCCAGTCAGATCTCAAAAGCAGCTGTGATAGAACCTATAAGCACAGAATCCTTGAAAGTAGCAAATGGAAATCAAGTAAATTCTGTACTTACTCCTGAAAATCCTAGATCACCTTCTGACAATAATTCAGAACCTCATGCCTAAATCTTTCATAGTAATACCAAATGATAGCAATAACTGTGTAGGTTTCTAGTCTGCGATATAAGGTAGGAATAATATTTCATCAGTTTAGGCTTTTAATTGAATGGCCTTAAAATTTCTTCTAAATGTTAAATTTTGAGACTTTTTGCACTTACATTTTATGTGTTTGTTGATCTTGAGAATAGTTTTATTGTTGAGCCAGAGAATTACCAATGTATTTTAGTACGTATGCAGTGCATCTGCATAATTTCCATCACATCATTATGTATATATAAATATATATCTTCTTCAGATAGCCGCAAATAATTTTAAATAAAAGGTCTTTATGTACATTCATATTTTCCTGCCAAAGCTTAATTATTTAATGATTTGTAATTTACATCTTGTTAATTGTTAATAATTACCTACTTAAATGTTATGTGAATTGTACGTTTGAATGTGTTTTGTAGCTTTGTTATATGATATATGTAACATATGTTATCTAAGATAATATAATTAGTGATACTTCATATACTAGAGTATCATAAAGATGTTGTTAATGATACTTTTCCAAAGTATCTTTGAAAGGGCAAAAACAAAAAAATGAAGGGTTAAAAGATTAGTAAGTGGAATTGAATTTAATATTTTTACATCTTTACTAGCCTTTCAGGCAATTTTATGACTCTTAATTTTGTTTTTAAAGTTTTGCCTTAATTATCTTCCATTTCAGATGTTTTAAATTAAGTAACTGTGCTCATTCCTTATGCCTGTGTTCCTATTCAATCTCGTGTTTTATTGCATTTGACATGACCTTTCCTTTCATTTTGTTATTTATCCTGCATATTTTTTGCTTTAAGTTATTATGTATAAATATATAAATTATTATATATAAATATATATATGTATAGGTAGTACAGTCGAAAGTCGTTAATCCAGACTCGTCGGGACTTCGACGATTCCGGATTATCGATTTTTCCGGATTATAGATCATCAGTTTAAATCTGGTAAGATGGAATGCAGAAATTACAAAATTAAAAATATGAAACCGTAATTTATGAAAGAACAATTATGATCTAAAGGGTATCAAAATTTACAAAAAGAAAAAGCTTAATATTTATTTGTTTACTTTATTAAACGTTTCTTTCAATGTAAGTTGTTTAAGTTGCTTCTTTTTATGTGATAATACTTTCTCTTTAATTCTACTAAACAGACATAATTTCTTGTTCAGTTACAAAGTTCCGCTGTTCAAGTCCTATAATTGCTGTGTCGAGAATACCGACTAATTTGTCAATCGAAATTTTTTCGTTTTCAATAACATCTGTGTCACTTTCTTCACTATCGGCAGCGAATTATAATGACAAGAAATTTGATTTAAATAATATCAAAGACGGAGTACATCGAGATGAAATACTACATTTAGTAAGGAATTATAAGCCAAATAAAATAAAAACATCTGCCCTGAAGATAAGGATAGTGCTGACAGATCGTTTTCCAATTCATGCATCAACGCGACGCATGCTCAGAAAGTTTGTAGCTTTGAGGTCCGGATTATAGATCATTCTGGATTATGGGTGTCCGAATTAACGACTTTTGACTGTACTTTACGTAATATGTAAGATGACAGTATTGTTCAGAGAATCAAAACTTTCATTTAAAGAAGACGGTAAGAGATGGAAGCTAAGTTGTTTGTTTGAAATAATAGGTAATCGTGATTCTAAGTGGTTGCATCTGGAGGTGATGATATGATTATTGTTGATCGTTTCTTGAACACTACAGTGGAGGTTACATTAACAACAGCTGTTCATTTTATTTGGTAACCTTGTGATATACACCTAAAGAAATAATATGTCTGATTAATATGGAAGCTAGTGCATGCTGTCATGATATTGATTCACATGGCTTCAAATTTGGATAACTCATAACAGCATTTTGATGAACTGCCATCAGTTGTGGCTGAAACTTTCTTAATATTTTCTTCTGTCGTTACAGAAACCTTTGGACAAGTGTTTCCTTTATTAGTATTAAGAACAGAATCAGGATTTTCAAATTTCTATGTTAAATTGATAGTTGTACTGTGGTGTAGTTTTGACTGTTTGTTTTGGATGCTGTGGACCACTTTGACAGCAATTCTGTGATATTTTGCACCCACTTCATTACAAAACTTCATGAGAAAAATCAGTCTTTAATAGAATATTGCTGTTGGCATGTCATATTGAAATAACATTAATCTCTGTCTGTAGTTTGCCTTTCTCCGTTGATACCTCTACATTGAGGTGAGGACCGGATACTCCACTTTCATGTAGTTTGCCTTTTATATGAATGTCTCACTTGTAAACTAGCAATGTCTCTGCAATGTATGCATGCTCAGCTCATTACGTCCTTTTTATGTCTTCTCTAAACAATACTTGTCATCCTGTATATATGCATATGTTGGGAGTAGAAATGAAAGTTTGAAACCCCCATTCCAATAAACTGCTATCAGGAGTAACTAAGAAATTGTAAGACTGTAAATACTTTTTATGTTTCTGATTTTTCACTGATATTGTTTTTGCCCTTTTTTTATACTTGCTGGTTGATATATTCTTTCATTTCCCCTTTATTTATTTGAATCTTTTTTTTTTTTTTGATCTTTTAGTGAAACTGCCCCCCCCCATTTGAGCTAAATTAAATGTATTAAAGAGAGGTTCTCAACCTCTGAATTAAACCTAATTTCTTGATTAAACAGAATTTAGTAAAATTGATTTTGACTAATGACAAGAGAATAATTTTTAATTGAAATTATTTATACCTATAATGTCTGTTGCAGTCAAAAAAATCTTCCTATATTTTCTAGGGCAAAAGGGAATTTAAAGAATTTTTCAATCTTGTAACAGAATTTTCATGAAATGTTCTGTAATCAGTATTAGTTCTAAATCTACAATTATTTATCCATTCAGATAAATGGAAAAGTTTGAATGTAGTATTTTCAATTCACCAGTTAGTATAGATTTATGCTTTTAAGTTTTCTGCAAATATTTTTTCTCAGTATATAGGTTATAAATGTTCACTAGAAGAACATTTCCTTTTGTAGTAAAGAACCTACTTCAAACTTCCATAATCCAGTCCCTATATTAGTCTGTGATCTCTAAGGTCTGCAGATCAATATTAGCTGATGAAATTTAGGGTGTTTTCAACTTTCTTTCATTAGATGGTGCCATCAGTATAACTTATAATGAAAATTTTCATGGCTGGTCAGTTTAGAATAGTGATGCAGGTATGATGCAAACTGGTCCTTTGAAGCTGTATTTCCTCCTTTAACATCTCAGTGCACTGTGGCTCATTCATCTGTCTTTCAGTTTATCAGGATTCCCATATATGCTGATCAAGTCAAGGGTTCAGTAACCAGCTAATTCATACAACAACTGCACTGTAGAGAAGGACTGTGACAATCACATTTTCTCACAGAAAGGTTATGGCAAATTTAGCAGCCAGATTTAGAGCATATATTTAGTTCAGTTACTAAAGTACTTGCCAATAAGCTGAAAGGTCCACAGTTTAATGCCAATTAATAGAAATTATGCAACCATCATAATCTATAAATGAAATATTCATGGTGGGCTGCTATGAACTGTAATAAGCATTCACTTTTAAATATAATATTGTTATTTATTAAAATCATTAGGATGATATTTTAAATTCAGTTCATCTAGTAATAGTTTTCTTTCACTTTCTAAGTTTATTATAATTTAGCTTTTATATTTTTAATCTATAGGATAAAATATTAGTTATTTTTATATTTTAATTATATAATATATTATGCATGTGTGTATACACACACACCAAATTTACACACACACATATAGAGAGAGTATAATATATATACATGTATATATAAAGATTAGAGTTTGAGAACCAAAGTCAGACTTTCAGATTTTATCTTTCAAAAATATTTTAGACATGTAATAATAGAAATATTGATTTCATTTATTCTTCAGATTTTCTTGGCATATTTTCTGCTTTAAATATAACCTTAATCCTTCAATTTCTTTCTCTATATATGCTGCCTTAATCTTACTTTTAATTGAAAATTTTGTGTGTTCCATTTCAAAATGTTTATGGACTAGTATTTGCCTGATATCCAGTTTTAGTAAATAGGCCTGGTAATAAAATTTAAATATGTGTGAAACAAGGATTAGAACCTAGAACTATAGTTTATACATTAGTGAAAATAATAAAATAGAAGTATATACATTCTCAAAAGTATGCAAGTTTATACTTTAAAACTGTTCTTTTCTAAATTTAGATTTTTCAGTATTTTACTTAGTTCCTAATTAGTTTTTATATTAATTATTATATTAAAGATTTTGTACATTCTCAAAGTATGTAATATTTAATACTTTAACTGTTCTTAAATTTAGATTTTTCATTATTTTTACTTCATGTTCCTAATTAAGTTTTATTAATTATATTAAGATTTTGTAATTATGATTAAATAATTATACATTTTCCAGTCCAGTTTGAAATAATCCAGTCATAACTTTGAATAGCACAAAACATGTATATTTATCTATGAGACAATCTTATTTTTTCCCCCTTTACAGTATTGTCTGTTGTTATTTGTCTGACTTAATTTCTTCTTTATCTGTTGGTTATTTTTTCATTATGCATTACTAAAAAATAGATAAAGTTAGTTAATAATATGTTTGTAATATTGCAGTGCTTGATTTTTAGTTAAAATTTGTTGTATATTTTAACTATAATTTTTTAACAAGTTTGTCAGGTGTATAAAGGAAAAAGAATGTAGTCAAGCTAGTGTGCCAAATATAATGTATTTTAAATATATTAACTATTACATCCATGAATTTAAGTATAGCAAGTTTCACATATGGGATTTTATTGTTGTGGCAATACCAGTTTGAAGGATTTTTTCTTGAGATTATCAGATATTCATCTTTTATTGAGATTATTTATATAGTGTAGTATTGGACTGTAATTTGTAATGCATATAAATTTTGCAATAATTTAGGATTTTTTAGGATAATGATGATAGGTATTTTTGATATTTTGTAATTGTAAAAATGTGTTGCTATGCTTGTAAATAGCTGCATTATGAAAAATTTGTGAATTTTTATTTCTGAGAATTATAATGCCAGTGAAATACTATTTTAACAAGAAAGAACGTTCAATTTTTATTGTGCAAAGATGCAACATTCCACAGCAGTGCCAAATTTTAGTGACTTATTCGTCTTATATTTATTTTGTTTAATAATTTTATGGTATTCTTTCCCTTCCTTTGATACTAAAAGCAAATCTTATGTTTTACAGAATGTAAGTGAATTAGACACAAAAGTATTTTAACATTGGTTTTAATTAAAAGGTACTTAGTGTAGGTTAAACCCAATCACATTATTTGGTTAATTCAATCATTAAAATGAAAGTCGAAATATGTTATTTAAAATAACTAAATGAACTAAAGGCAGAAAACATATCATAGTGCATTTTTGAATGCCTAAAATTAACAAATTCATAATATTTTCATGAATATTCATAATATATTCATGGAAAATTTATTCCTTTCATTTATTTATTTGTTAATTGCTCATTAATTCAGTAATGAGGAATAACCCGTCCCCCAGAAAATTTTTTTTCAGAGTATTAAAAAATTGAATTTATAAAGTGAAAAGTTTATAATTCAATTTCTCATATTCTGTGCTTTGTAGTACCTTCTTTTCAAAAAAAAGTTATTTTTGTGAGTTAGTTCACTTTATTTATTCATTTTTGTACATCCATATAAATTCTTTTATAGTCTTTTTGAAGTAATAAATTTCTGTAATTTGTATAAAAATTAGTTTTGATATTTATTAAGTATTTGTTTATAACAATTAAAAATTGTATAATTAATTTGTATAAAAGAACTTAGCTATGCTGATAATTTTTTAAAATACGGATTATATAATATGC